AGTCATTCCGCAGAAATGTAAAATTTAAATGATGTAATAATGGTCACGTGACTTCCACAGTATTTTGGTTTGGTTGGATCGGCAACACGGGACCTCTCTATCGGTCCTCGTTTTACTATCTCACAATATCATAGCACTAGAGATGGTTTAAATTCACATGCATTCCATCAAAAGTGTAAAGACATTACCAAAACTATTGTAGTTGCAAAAATAGAAAATTCCAAGCAAATAGTTGGCAGGTATAATCCATTTAGCTGGTATGAAAATAGATATAAATATACAAATGAAAGCTTCATATTTAATATTAACAATAGAAATGATGATAGTACTGCACAACTTAGTTATGACATTGATGGTGAAAATCAATTTGCAATTGGTTGTAAACCTAGTTCATTTCCTATTTTGACTATAATGATCTTTATTTTGATCAAAATGGTACAATTTCTGGTACTCCAAAAACTTATAGTAACATCAATATACCATTTTATGGTAAATTTGATGAATTGGAAGTTCTTCAACTAATTGATAATACTTGATAATTGTTGAAATAATTTTTTAAAAATGAATTAATAATAATTTGCTAATAAACTTAAAATATCTATTGCTTTTTAACATTCAACTTTTTTTTAATTTTAATACTTAATGTGATGCTTTTAATAATGAGTGATCTGCATTGATTTTTAAATAGGGACCAGCAGGATAATTATATTAATAAAACACATATAAAGAATTAAAACAACAACCCTTATTAAAAGTAAATTCAATTTCATTAAGTTTAATCATTCCTCATTTACCTTATGAAAGCAGATTGGAAAGAAACTCTAAACAAAATCAAGAGGTATATATTAAATAAATATTTTTCTTGAAAATTTGTGTAGAAATTTATTCCAAAGGTGTGGTTGTTGTATAATTTTACTGCTTCTGGGACAAAACTCAGATTTTCTGAGCCAATTTATCCGGTTTATAGCCACAAGGTCTTCCAGAAGCTTATTTCATGGATTTCAATACCTTTTTTCTGTATATTCACATGGACCTGTATGCATCGATTTAATCTGTTTTATACTACTCAGCTTTCCAATGAAAAAAAGGCTTGCAAAGGAATAAGATATGAATGTAATGAATATCTATGAACTGAGCAAGCCTGTCATATAAAGCCAAATAGTATATCAATTTTACACTACTCAGCTTTCCAATAACTAGCAAAGCAATAGATATGAATGTAATGAATATCTATGAACTGAGCTAGCCTGGTCTATAAAGCCAAAATAGCATAACAATTTACTATGTGATGAAAGGAAAATTTTTCATCAGCTAATAAAATTTTTGAATTAAAGATTTCTGCATTCTATATAAAAATAAAACAAAAATGTTATCTTATATTACCCAAACTTTTAACTATATTGCTAAAGCAATTTCTTATCTAGATGAGAGCAAAGACCCATTTGAGGCAGGAGATCTGAGAAGTGATTGAATATATGAATATTAATGCTCCACCAGAACTAATTGGTAAAATTATAAAGCAAATTGAAGATCCATTAAAAATTGCTAATGTAATGTTAGTAAACAAAACATGGTATAAAGAGGGAAGGCATTGATTATATATAGATAGGAATGACATAATGGAGTGGTTAAGATTAAAAAGGATCACTAAATTGGATGGTTTTATAAGATATCTAAATCTTGATAGGTTAGATGAATATATTAGGATACATAAAAATCTTATAAAAATTTGTGAAGATTTAACTGATGAATCCCTATAGAAAATAAATGTACAGAATATGTAAGAATTTACTTACAGTATGTTTTGACATGTATTTAAGTACATTTCATAAAATGATGATCATTAATTTTTTATAGTTGGCTTGGTCTAAAGTAGTGTTGGTTGCCAAAACTATTTTGAAGAGGCGAAGTCAAAACTAAAATTAAAAGTTATATGTCAAAACTAAATCAGAAGTCAATAGTCAAATATCAAAACTAGTTTTGACTTATGGCAAAACCTTTTGAATTTTGCACGGTTGCAAAACTCTCTAATTTTGGAAACCAACACTAGTCTAAAGACCTCCTAAATTTTGGGCAAATTTTAAAAGTATAGATATATACTGGAACTCAAGACTCTTATTTTCATTGGACCATTTATACACACATAGGCTTATTTCAGGATTATTTTCTTTGAATTTTTGGTATACTGGTGTTGAGACTGGCACAGGAACTGGAATGCCCTCCATATCTAACTCATCTATATAATTAGCATATATCCTGTGCAGATTTCTTTCTGGATGGACTTTAACTGGGTGCAAGGCTCCAAGTACACACCATCCAAAGCACCATTCATCATTATTCTGCATATTTATAACACTGTTATTTCATTTTGGCATGGTGTCAGGCAGAGGTATATGGCATGTAGGGCTAATAGGATCAAAATCTGAAATTTCAATACTAAATTCTTCAATGTATTCTGGGTATGCATTGGACATTTTTTATTGTAATAAGTCTAACCAATTAACTATTATTCATTATATATATTTTTTTTTTCTTTTTAATTAATTATTTCGCATATAATTCTGAACTGATGAGGCATAAATTTTAGATTTTTTAGGACAAGAAAGTGGCCAAAAAATAATTTTATAAAATTTCATTATCATCTGGGTGGCCAAAAATTAAAAATTGGCCGCATACAAAAAATTTTGTTAGATTTTTTATAAAATTTCATTATCATCTGAGTCAATGTTGGAAATTGAGTGCAGGGTTTGTGTTACATATTGAATTTAGCCAATCAAATTTGTTCTTCTGGTAGGAATTTTAACGTTGATTGGCTAAATTCAATATGTAACACAAACCCCGCACTCAATTTCCAACACTGATCTGGATGGCCAAAAATTAAAAATTGGCAGCATACAAAAAAAAATCGAACCAAAATGTGGCCTAAAAATTAAAATTCACCACTTTAAGGAGGTCAAAAAATAATTTTACACCGCATTGTTAGGGGATAACTAAGTGGCCAAAAAAATGAATAAAAACTGTTAGCTCTTTGGCTTCCAGGTGGGGATAGAGACACATTTGGGAATTGTCTCAGTTCCCCATTTTGCCATTGTGTACAATGATAATTCCATTATCATTAGGATAAAATAATTTTTTGGGAACAAATTTTTTACTTTTGTTGGGTGTTTGATTTAAAAAAAGAATCA